GCATCGCGTCGGCTGTCTGCCATGCCTGTCATCCGGGCATAGCTGTGGAGATCACGGCTGAAACCGAGTAGGACAAAATCAATCAATCAATCAATACCTGTCAAAATTGTGGCCCAGCAAATATGGTCCGATGTATTACCCAAATAGACTTAGCCGTAGTCGCTCACAGATTCAATGTCCAAGTCTCTTCTGATCATCACCTTCTAGTAGCCTTAACAATCCAAAACTAGGTGTTCTAGGCTGCACCTTAATTACACTAATGTGCAACAGTACTTGGCACAGCAAGATGCTTGTATGGGAGACAAGCCTCACCGGTTTCAAGGGATGTGGCTGGAAGTCCGTTATAGCATCAAGGTAAGCCCTTACCATCCAGTGTTGACTAGCCGTTTTAGGAAACCCGACGCGACACTATAGCAGCGTATAGGGCTACCCCGTATAGTTGGGTATACTATAGCTGCGTATGCGATTGCTGCGCACTCGACTGTCATTTCCCAGTATCCTGAAGGAACACTGGTGATATGTGGCGCTGCAGATAGTAACCGTCGTATTCTTTCGGTGTGGGTAGCTACAAGGCCCTGCCTGGCGGGTTTCGGATACTGTGCTTTGTGAGGCTTAGCGTCCCTCGTGTAAACGCTCTACACAGTATACGCGCAGGACAGTGCAGGAGAGCCAGTGCAGACACCAAGGCGATGTCTTGTTTTCGTAGCAGTCTGGGCAAACATATAAGTTAACGATGGGTTGCAAGTTAGAGGAGCATCATCAGCATCCAGCTTTGATCTTCACTCGTTCTCAACACCCTCACCTCTCTTCAGCCAGCTCGCTTTCCTCGTTGCTTTTCATAATAACCGACTCGATATTCCAATCCCATCAACATGTCCCAAGCCATCAAAGGCCTTTTGCTTGCCAGCTTGGCAGGATCGGCTCTGAGTAGCACTATTCCTCGTGCTGCCTCACTGCCTGTCGCCGATACAGTGTTTGTAAATGGAGTGATCCATACTCTTGACGACAAAAGCAACACCATCACCGCAGGTTCATTGGCCATCACCAATGGCACAATCACATGCGTTGGTAAAGAGGAGGACTGCAAGCCCGCTGTTGGAGCTTCAACCAAGGTGGTCAACCTGAACGGCAAATCAATGATCCCTGGCCTGATCGATGCCCATATCCACCCCCTTGATGCTGGCCGAGCAATGCTTGGATGTACTCTGCGCTTCCAACAGCTCTCTCCTGAGGGCCTCCGCAAGATCATTCAAGCCTGCATTGACTCGCAGCCTGGCCAGAATGACCTTTTGACAGTCACTGAGTGGGACCGTGAAGGATTCACCACCCTGAACGGAGGAGCAAACAAGTCCATGCTCGACTCACTCAACACCACCCGGCCAATTGCTATCATTGCTTCCAGCCAGCACAACATCTTCGTTAATTCCAGAGCTCTCCAGCTCATTAATGCTACCCGCGACACCCCTAACCCTCCTGGCGGTAGGATCGGACGCGACGCCAAGGGCGACCTCACTGGTATGCTCGAGGAAAACGCGGTTGTTCCCATCCGAGCTCTCATGGGAGACCGTGGCATTGCCCAGCTCGATGCTGCCACTGCGGCCATCTCGCAACTCCGCCGCAAGGGTATCACCAGCTTCTTGGACGCACTCCAGACACCACACACAGCCTGGTCTAGCCTCAAGTCCACCAACGAGCTGACTGCTCGTGTCTTCAACAACTTTGGTATCTTCGGAAACACTGATTTCTCCACAATCATCAGCCAAGCAGTAGCAAGCAGGAAGCAGTTGGATGAGGCTCTTGTCGCCGCTCCAGGCCAACAGTGGCGCAACGTCAAGTTCTTCATTGATGGCATTCTGCCTTCTTCCTCCGAGTCCAGCTGGCTCCTCAACCCCTACCTCGTCCAAGATTCCAAGGGCAACTGGGTCCCAGGCAACCACTTTGGTCTTCCCAACACCAACCAAACCGAGCTTCAGAAACTCCTCACGTTGACTCTGGACGCCGGAATGGGTCTCCACGTCCACGCCAGTGGTGACAGGGCCGTCCGCACCATACTCGACATCGCCACCGGCATGAACCGCACCTTTGCCCCCCACGACATCGGCATTGCCCACGCCGAGCTCGTCGCCGCCGAAGACCGCAACCGCTTCCAGGAACTTGGTATCCCCGTCATTGCCTCGTACCAATGGGCGCAAAAGGCCACCTACTGGGCCGGTGACAACTCGCTCGTCCTCGGCACTGACCGCATGGCCGTCGCCCAATCCTCCGGTCTCCTCAGCAAGGCGGGCGCCCTCGTCGCCTACGGCTCAGACTGGCCCGTCGACCCTCTCGACCCCTTCCTCGCCCTCGCCGTCGGCGTCACCCGCGCCGGCGACCCCCAGAACAAGAACGCCCACGCCAGCTTCGGTCCCCAGTTCGTCGGCCGCCTCGACCAGCAACCCGCTCTCTCCCGCGAGGCCGCCCTCAGGGGCATGACCACCGTCGCCGCCACCTACCTCAACAGCTCCGCCAGCATCGGATCCCTCGAGCCCGGCAAATTTGCTGATCTCCTCATCCTCGACAAGGACTACTTTGACACTGCTGCTGTCCCTGATGATGCCCTCTCCAGGAACAAAGTCCTCATGACTATGGTTGGTGGCCGCGCTGTCTTTTCTGATGAGTCTGCTACTTTCTTGCCCGCCGAGTGGCAGGCGGAGTCCAAGAAGCTCGATAGCAACCCTGTTATCCAGCGCATGAAGCCTGGTAACATTCTCACCCGCGCTATTACTGGTCGCGCTTGTGGTTCGCACGTTGGACACCAGCACTAAGATGGTGATTTTTTCTCTCTTCCTTCGTTGCCTTTTCACGACTGCGACTGTGTGATGGCGTAACACTCGTTTTGTTATTCGGATTTGTTCAATATTTTTTTTAGATTGTTAGTGTTCTTTTTGCGGGCATTTTTCTTTTGATAGATAATGTCCTCGGATGGCGTTTTAGGGAGAAAAAAAAATGAAGCATTTCATGACTGAGAATAGTTCCCCATTTGCAAATTTGCGGATTGTGTGATGCTTGTTTTGATAGTCTTCCTTATTGTCTATTCCCCCTCTTTCGCTGAAGCATGGTTTTTTGTTGATAGATACGGTTCTACTGTTGTCATCGAAAACTATAGTGTGGGCATCTACTCTACCTGTGGGTATCATAGCTCCATTGTTACATATAGATAGGTCGCAACAGGTAATCTTAGCGTGCTGCAATAGTAAGGATAACCCTGCTGACACTCTTTGTAGGTATTCACATCGCTATTAACCTGAAATTATCTTTATTTTTATCGCTTTGGTCCTCAGCACCCATAGCAGTTGGGTTAAAAAGGCACTTTGCGGATTTCTCGTGGTTCTGGGTCTCCTTGCAGTGGACATGATTCGCTGTCAAATGTCCATAATCGGTATTGGGACAAGAAAACTTGGACGCGAGTTGTAATCCTGTCCGCGATGCGAGCTGAGTTCGAAAAGAAAGTCGGTGTCATTGTTGCCTTGTTTCCATGCCTCAATAGACTTGTGAGTGACTGGATGACGAGGAACAGGCTGCTTGAAGATGGCCAGAGAATGGCGCCTGGTTTTGCTGGAGAGTCAAGTCTCCAAATAAGTCAAGAAGATGTTGGTGATATGAGTATTGGAGTAGATCCAGAACACGGTAGGCTATCGGTGATTAACAAATGTCGTGACTGATGAATTAGCTATAGCACTGGGCTTGGAGAGTTTGAGTTTGATGTTACTCCAGGATTACAGGAGATGATTCCCATCCCATCGTGTGTATCTTTGGATACTACAGCTTTCACGACGGATTACATGAAATGGCGCGAAGTGTTTTGAGGTATTCTGCATGAGGCGACCTACACAGTAAGTATGTAGTGTAGACGGACCATCAAGATAGTTACGGCCGGATCTCGGCGATATTCGCGCGAAACGTGGCTCAAGATCGGGGTATTAGCTAATTAGTTCTAGTTAATTACACTGCATCACAAATCATCATCTATAACGTACACAAACAACTCTACTTCCAGTACCGGTGTATGCTGCAGGCCAGTCGAGCATTCATGTTCTACATGTACAATTCATTCTGTAAATTGACGACCTATCCCGGTATTTCTGTCGCGCCTACACATGGGTACGCCGTTGCACGGCAAAATGCTTACAGCTGACCATGGAAAGTTAAACCTTAGCAGGCTTCACGATCCGATGCGGCTGCCGCAGCGAGATCTGGGCTAGTGGCATGAAAAAGTGGGACGGCCACGCGCGCTACGAATCTGGGGTGCATTGCTGACGGTTCCTCCTTCTGAGAGTCTTTTAATGCGTCCATGCTTTCCGCGAAGCTTTTCTTCCTTGCGTCTTCCTCGTGGCTTGGCTCTACTGCTTCCTGACTTCTCTTGGATCTTGCTACGTCTCTTCCGTACAGGCTTCTGGATTTGGATGCTGGCCGTTTGAGCTTGTGTTTCAGTCGTTGTTGTCGTCCTCGCCACCGCCTCCGCTTTCGCCGCCGTGAAATCACTTTTCGCCTTCACGATGCCCATATGGGATCCTCTCGTTCCTGCTGAACGTGCTATTCAGCGCGGTCTGGCGCGTCTCCCGCCAGCCGTGAGCCATTGGTTCGGGTATCGACCACAGACCTTACCTCCATCCCGCACATGGCTTGTCTGCATGTGGGGATTCATCGGCGCTTTTTGCGGACTCAGTACCATCTTGGCTATTTTTGGGCATACAGACTACTTCAAAAGCCGTGCTGTACCACCCATCATCGCTTCATTTGTAAGTCATGCTTTGCTATCTTCTCGCGTGCGGTTTAGGGTTGCAACGAGACAATGAGGAAGAGATGGATTTAAGAACATGGAATTGGACAAAAGGACACGACTCGCAAAGTACTGTAAGCTGACCATATTCTCCAAAAGGGTGCTTCAGCAATCCTCTGTTACGGCGCCATTGATGTGCCTCTTGCTCAGCCACGTTCTCTGGTCTTTGGCCACTTCTTCAGTGGCCTAACTGGCGTCATCATCGCCACAATTTTCCAGTTTGATCTCGAAACCGAGCCTTTTCCTCGTCTCCAATGGCTCGCAGCTTCACTCGCAACAGCCATTGCCTTGGTCGTCATGCATCTTACAAAAACAACCCATCCACCTGCAGGCGCAACAGCACTACTTCCCTGCGTCGACCCGCACATCTGGGCTCTGAGGTGGTACTACCTACCCGTGTTGCTACTTAGCTCGACTATAGTGCTGGTGAGTGCGGTGCTTCTGATGAACGTGCAAAGGCAATATCCCAAATTCTGGGTTGCGCAGATTCCGCCAGCGCCAGCTGCGGAAAAGAAAGAAAAGAGCGTGGTCGAGAAGAAGACGAATGCGTTGAATGAGGGCTCGGAGGCTGGCAGTGCGCGTGATACACTGCAGGATATGGAAAGAGGACCTTTGTAATTCATTAACTATCGTGAGTCTATGACGTTTCTCGTATCTAAGTACATGACAATCTCCGTCTCGTGCTTCTATGCATTGAGCAGCAGGTGCTGTCATTCCAATGTAAATATTAATGGAAAAAGCGAACAACATTGCCGCACGGTTGCGACAAAGGAAAAAATACTATCGACTCATTATACATCAGCCTCATTACACGTCAGCATCATTACACGTCAGCATCATTGCCCTCATAATCATTTTCGTCGTAAACGCCGAAACATAACCGAAATCTTCCAACTCACTCAAACCTGTTGCATATGAATTGTCTTTGCAATGCTCGGCACGCCCTTTTCGCTAACTGCGAAGAGGTACCACATGCCCGGTAGCATGACGCCCTGGTCGTTCAAGATAGGCAGTGTAACCTTGTCACCATCGACCTTTGGCTCGAGCGGCACACGCCTCTGATCAGTATTGACACTATGCGTGACGCTTCCAATCCGAATCAGAGAAAAGGAAACACCCTTGGCACTTCCCTTCATCGTGACTTCGAGCCGCCCACCCGGCGCAACCTTGGCCGAAGCAACCTTTTCGATAACGGGTCTCGGTGCACCGGTAGTCAGATATGGCGGCGTAAAGATCTGGCCGTTGGGATGATCAACAGTATTGCGACACGGCTCCGACACTCTTCCTGAGCCGTCGTCCCAGCAGAGTCCACCACCACCCGTAAACACCATTCCATCCGGCAGCAAAATCGCGACAGAATGGTAGTTTCTCGGCACGACCTCCGGAGCCAGTTCGGTGAATGTACGTGTCGCCGGATCAAACAATTCAGGATGAAAAACGGGCTCCTTGTCTGTGAAGCCTTCGGCTACACCTTGACCTCCCGTCACCAGTATCTTCCCATCAGGCAGCACAACCACATTCGCAAAGACGCGCGCGTGCTTCATATCCGGTAGTCGCTGTACTTTTGCCTGGGCGCCCACCTTGTCGATTTCTATCATGTGGGCAACGCGCAGACCGGGTGCTTCGTAGTAGTACTGTGCCCCTCCCGCCGTGAAGATCTTGCCGACATCGTACATGACGTTCACACCGCACATTGAGTCGTTTTCGGTATTGCGTATGCCGGCGGGCTTGACGTCCCCTTTTCCATCGGTGTAGTACCAATTCATGGCTTTGCTGGGGCCGGCTTGGAATACGGAGCCGTTGCGCCAGGGGAAAAGCCAGGCGTGGTTGTCTTCGCGGTAGACGCCTTCGTGGTCGGTTGTCAGCATTGGTTTGACGGCTGCGCCCGGAAGAAGTTTCCACGAGTTTGACTTTGCGTCGTAGAGTTCGCCGGCTTTGCCGCCCACGGGGCCGCTCCAGGAGCCGCCGATTGCGAAGATGTTGCCGGTGGAGAGGATGGTGCTCGAGTGGTAGCCCCGCGGGATGTTCATGTTGGGGCCCGCGACGAATTCGTTGCTGAAGGGGAGGTACAGGCTGGTTTTTTCGGCGTTGGCACCGCCGCTCACGACGAGGCGGCCATCGCCGAGGGAGCTTATGCCCGGGCAGAACATGTCGTGTTTTGTTTGTGATACTTCGCGTCTAGAGACGGTGCCGTTGACTAGGTTGTACTCTGCGAATTGCGTGATGCCTCGTTGGCCGCCGAAGGAGTTGGGAGAGAAGGCGGAGAAGACGAGCATTCGTGTGGGGGATGGGTACTCGGGGACGATGTATGCGGCTACGGGGATGATGGGGAAATCTATGACCGGACTCCATGATCCTAGAGCGTCTTTTTTATCCTGAGGTGGTGGAGTGGTTGCCTTTGAGCTGTTTAACTTCGCAGCGGCATTCGATTGCGCCGTTGTAGCGGAGACGAAACATGATAGTAGTACTGCCTTTGTGCAAATAGAAGAGAACATTGTGAATATATCAAGCGGCTGCTCTTTAGCCAAAGATTCACAAGAAAAGAAAAGAAACGAGTCCAAGCAGCTGACTGCAAGGTAAAGAGGCTGGGATGAACAGGGTTGAGATAAATCTGCAATACTCGATTCGAGGTGTAGTATCCTTTGCTTTATATTCCTCGGAGAACAATTATAGAAAAAGAAAGGAAAGGGGGTCATAGTGCGGCACTCAACAACTGCCACCAGCCTCCTTATTTCCACCGTCGTTGCATGAACACTAAATCGTGCCATTGTTATCGACGACTTAGTCCCAAAAGCAAGAAAAATCAGTTTCGAAAATCAAGGAAACAAACATGCGGTATCTTCTTTTTCGTTTATCAGTATTAGGGGGGATGACTTTGGCTGACTTGTTTAGAGAAAAAAAAAAGTAAGATGTCTGGTTTTATGCACAAGATTCCAGAAACAAGCTGGGACCGTATGCTGGTGCTATGCTGTTGCATTCCCAACGGTACAGATTACACCTGTGGTATCTCTCGGGAAATTCTCACGTGTCAGATACGTGGTAGGTACTGTATGGTGTATCCCTGCTCTGCCATTGGAGATGTGGTGAAGGGGACATGCATGTAAACAAAGAAGATCGAGCAGTAGGACAACGCTCATCAGTCTTTGGAGGACCACTGATCACCACGCGGCCTGGTCCAAGCGTAGTATGGAAGTAGTGAATGGACTTCCAGTTGGAAAGTCTATACTAAAGCAAATTGCTTGGCTTTTTGAGGCATCTGTGCTTGTAAAGGATGCAAAAGAATGGAAGCAGTGAGCCACAGATATGTGTGTGAGCGCTGTTCTGAGGCAAGAATAGAGAAAGGTAGGAGACGTTGTCATATAGCCTGAAGCTTGATAACGGCTAGTTGGAACTAGTAAAAAAGTAGTAAATGCTTCGTGAGCGATCAGGAATACTGCATTAACAGCATATGCGACTATCTTAGTTTTCCATACCAACAACTCCTAGTTATGACAAATGAAGTCATGTTTGGTTGCTTCTATTCGTTCTTTTGGGTTCTTTCCCTTTTTTCCGCCTTATTCAATGATTGTCTCGGCGACTGAAAACAGTTCTAGACAATTGGAGTGACGGAATAAAAATCAACATTGGGCGAGAAAGGCTCTGAGAGTCTAGCGATTAGCTGCTGCTACTGCGGCGCTCACACGAAACACAATCACGCTCGCGACAAATGCACGAATTCTATTACGATTATTACATATTGAGGCAAGAATCTGGGCTGGTGTGGTCAAAAACACGTGAGCAGTACCGCTTCTATAAATATTCGTCACAAAAGTCTTATTGGCGCTTGTTGTCGGTAATCTGTGCTGTGCGGCTGTCTGAATATTGTAAGTTTAGCGGCACTGCGTAATATGACAGTTTCAGCGCAACATTTGAGACTCGAGTACGTATGCTCCCGTGTCTTAGTCTACACCTACCTAGAAATGGCGTATTTGTACATGCATGTTGTTCTTCAACCAATGCTGGGATGTAATCTATCAATCATCTTTACTGGATGCGAGCTTCTCGTGCCTGTTGGCTGTAACATGAGTCAACAAACAGCCATACGCGATATACGCAGGTTTTGAATGTATTATAAAAGGGGGTTTACGATAAATACGCAGGTTTCGACTGTTTCCATAAGCGGCTTTACGAAAAATACGCAGCTTTACGAGAAATACGCAGGCCCTGAAGGCGCAGCGCCATAGGATCAAGGCATCTGGACTAAGGCCCCGCTTGTTTGTGGCTGTGAGACTGTGGGCTTTTCCCTGCGACAAACCGACAGCCAATCACGTCCATATTTCCCCGAACCCCCGTGTCATTGCGCATGCGCGTCGCCCTTGCCTGCATTACAGGCTTCTCATTCTCGTAGTTCCAGGAGATTGCCGATCGCAACAGTCTCTATTTATCTTTCCTACTCTCCTATTATTCTTGTTTTATCTTTCTCTCATTGTACACTTTTCCTTAGCCCTGTAGTTACGCCATGTCAAGTTCAAAGGGCCCCGCCCCGGGCAATGACGTTACTACTCGCGATACAGCCCCACCATCGCAGCAACCATAGTGAGTATCGCCAGTTTTAAAAGGAAGCCATAGTTTATGCTGACATTGTTGGAAGCGAGTCTTCAAGCTCGCGGCCAAACGTCGATAATGCACACATCAGCAACATAACGTCACCAGCCGTTGAGGAGCCTCCCCCTGCATACAGCGAACTTCCAGGCCAAGTCGAAAACGAAGAGCTGGGAACAAATGCCGTTGTAGCGGATGATGGACGTGTGAATATTCGAATAGACCAAAAGAGCCACACCCTTTCGCAACTCATTCTTCCACAAATCCAACGTCAGCTTACGCATGCGCAAGAAGACCCTGAGCCTCCTCCGCCTTACATTCCAGAGTTTCTTGGCGGTGCGCCAGGCCAACAGCCACCACCTCCACTCAACCTCGTCATACAGGTTGTGGGGTCGCGAGGCGATGTTCAGCCCTTTGTTGCCCTTGGCAAAGTACTCAAGGAGACGTATGGTCACCGAGTACGATTAGCAACACATCCAACGTTCAAGGAATTTGTAGCCGAAAATGGACTCGAGTTTTTCAGCATCGGCGGTGACCCGGCTGAGCTCATGGCCTTTATGGTGAAGAATCCGGGTTTGATGCCAGGCTTTGATACATTGCGCAGCGGTGACATTGGCAAGAGAAGGAAAGGCATCGCAGAGATTCTGAGTGGAACATGGAGATCCTGCATAGAGACCGGCAATGGTCTTGGTGTGGATCCTCTCCAGCAAACAGTGGAAGAGTGGATGGGCATAGAAGAGCAGCTACCAGAGCAGCTTCGAAAACCGTTTGTTGCCGATGCCATCATTGCGAATCCCCCAAGCTTCGGGCACATACATTGCGCTGAAAAGCTAGGGATCCCACTACATATGATGTTCACGTAGGTTTGACGACAGGATCATGATGTGCACATACTGAGTTTGAAACAGCATGCCGTGGTCACCTACACAACAATTCCCACATCCACTCGCCAACATCCAGTCTACAAATGCGGACGCTACAATTACGAACTACATGTCATACATCATGGTTGATGTGCTGACCTGGCAAGGTCTTGGAGATGTCATCAACAGATTTCGCAAAGATAGTCTTCGCTTGGATCCAATCAGCGCTGTCTGGGCGTCAGCTATGCTTGCAAGACTCAGAATTCCCTTTACGTACTGTTGGTCACCAGCACTGATTCCGAAACCAAGAGACTGGAATCACCACATCTCGGTCGCAGGCTTCTACTTCCTCAACCTTGCTTCCAATTACACGCCAGACCCGGATCTTGCATCGTTTCTGGATGCAGGAGAGCCTCCTGTATATATCGGATTTGGCTCAATCGTAGTAGATGACCCAAATGCCATGACCAAGATGATTTTCGACGCCGTCAAGATTACTGGAAAACGAGCACTAGTGTCTAAGGGCTGGGGTGGTCTTGGAGCTGACGATATTGGAAAGCCTGATGGTGTGTTCATGCTTGGAAACTGCCCCCACGATTGGCTATTCAAACGCGTCTCGGCTGTTGTACACCATGGCGGTGCTGGTACCACAGCAGCTGGTATTGCTACTGGAAAACCTACAGTTGTCGTACCCTTTTTTGGAGACCAGCCCTTTTGGGGAGCCATGGTAGCACGTGCCGGTGCAGGGCCTGACCCCATTCCCTACAAGGACCTCACTGCTGAGAAACTCGCTGCGGCTATCATGGAGGCGCTGAAGCCGGAAACACTCGACCGGGCGCAGGAACTTTGCGACAAGATCAAGCAGGAGAATGGAACTCAGAGTGGCGCTCAATCCTTCCACCAGATGCTCAATTATGATGACTTGCGATGCGCAGTCAAGCCAAGCCAACCCGCTGTATGGAGAGTCAAACGCACAGAGGTCAAGTTGAGCGCCGTAGCAGCTACGGTACTGGCTCAAGAAGGTGAAATCAATTTCTCCGAGATGAAGCTGTAAGTCCTTTTTTGATCTGGTGATTTCCTTGATTGATAGTTCTAGCTTCCGTCCTCGTGAATACGTTCCGGATGAAGGTCCTTGGGACCCGATTACTGGTGCCGCGGGAGCTTTGATGGGAACGGCAACTTCAATGATGATGGGTGTTGCCGACATGCCTATCCAGACCCTTAAACTTCTGCACATACACCCCGATAGCAGGTCTAAGAAGGGTAAACAAAAAGCAGCAGGAGGCGAATCCACTTCTCAAAGCAGTGGCAATGACAGTGGAAGCATGGCAAGAAGTGTGGTAGCTGAGACTGAACGTCCGAGTCGAAGCGGAAACACGACGCCTACAGCAGCTGATGCCGCTGCCGAGCTGGCAAGGATCCAAGCCAGTAACCCGGCAGTCAAAAGTCCAGGCTCACCCGGTACGCCTTCACATAGATCTGATTTTATGTCTCAAGCATTTTCTGAATCTACTCAAGGTTCGCGTTCGCGCTCTAGAGAGCGTGTTGGCTCCAACGCGGGATCGCGCTCGGTCGCCGCTTGTAGTAGCGGACAACGACCTGGAATAACGGAGAATATCGAGTCTACTGTAGATACTGGAAAGGGTTTGGCACGCATTATCAGTGCTGGGGTTAAGTCACCTATGGACTTTTCACTGAACGTTGCCAAGGGGCTCCATAACGTACCGAAACTTTATGGAGCAGAGGTTCGGCAGGTTGACAAGGTCACTGACTTTCAAAGTGGCATGCGCACAGCTGCAAAGGTACTGAGAACATGGAATTGTTCGTTTGGGCTTTGCTGACGTTGAAACAGGAATTCGGGTATGGGTTGTACGATGGCATCACAGGTCTCGTAACCGATCCATACAAAGGTGCCAAGAAGGAAGGCGGTATCGGCTTCGTCAAAGGAGTTGGTCAGGGTATCATGAGCCTGCCATTCCGTGTAATGGGCGGTGCATGGGCAGTACCTGGTTACGCAATGAAGGGCCTTTATCAGGAAGCAGTCAAGAACA